ACACTCATCTCGTTTGTAGCCCTTGGCAGGGCAATTGACTTGAAGCAAAATTCTGAGGTCTTTGCCCCACCAAAGCTCTCCAGAACACCACTGGGCACAAAATCAGCAGTGACATTGAAGATGTGGCCTTTTTCATATAGTGAGTGCAGTGTGGTAAAACCATCTGCACACCAAAGCAGAAGATTACCATTGATGCTTTAATTTTCCAAAGAAAATATTACCTGGTTAAAGTGAACTGGTGCTCACTGGCATGATCTTACTGCTCTGTTACAGCTGCTAAGCAGTGACTTATCTTTCATAACTGCTGTAACGTGCTTCAATGCTTGGCACATTATTCTCTGTCTCAGTGGCATCAGATACCAAACCGTACCTCAGTCCCTGAGAAACTGAGTCACATCAGGACTGGTGCTCTTCTGCTTTCTCATGCCCACTGATCCTTTGACTTCAGAGTTGAGAAGAAATTAGAAATGTTGTTTCCTACCATGAAGGTTGAGGTGGCAGCATGTTCATGTCTTTGGAGGATGAATGGCCAAACTCTGCTTTGCTGCAGGTGTTTCTGGGAATCCCAGCACCTCCAGGATCACAGTGGGGTCTTTTGTAGGCTCTGGTGGATGTACCAAATTCCTTTGTTTGTGAAAGCATTTTTGTGATGCCTCCTAACCTGTCAAGCCAGATGTCAAGTATCAGCCTTTTAGAGAGTGTCAAATAGTTTCAATTCTGAGATGACTTCAAGTTGCTAATTAGGTTGCTGATGTGCCACCAAAGACATCAGGCTCTGGCACCCAGACTTGATGACAATATGTAAACTCTTCAGTGATCTACATATTGGCTCAGTGACTGACTTTATTCTTTCCTGCTCAGAATAGCAGTATTTCCTCACCCCTCCAGCAAATGACATGTTTCTCACATTTTTGTGGCACAGCTTGGTCAAAAGGCTGGAAGGTGCGAAAGCAAAGCAGCAACAAAAGCTTGCATCATTCCTTCCCAACATAACTCGTGCTGGCACTCTTTATCTTGTCCTTGTTAAACATGCCAGCGTGCACTTGGGTTTGTCATGCCACATGGCAGAATCATAAAGAATCTAGCTGTTACCACAGTCCCCAAAATCCTGTACTGGACTAAAGGCAGCTTAAAATGCAAGTAGGTTCCAGATGGAGTTTTGGAAGTATCAGAACACAATTCCACAATGGCAGAGATATAAGGCCTGGGGCAATGCCTTGAGATCCTCTTTGTCCTTCAGTATTGCTGGAAATACAACCTCGAGTTCCTGAAACAGGCACATTTGAAATGACAGTTATGTATGTTTGGTCTTGCATTCTTTTCTGTCCCTTTCTCCACTATTACTTTCTTAACGCTTACTTGGGGCAGCAGGGTGCTCTTCAACGCAATCTGATTTCCTATTCCATCAGCTAATCCAGGTCATGTTGTTCCAGTAACAGCAATGGAGATGTATCCATCAATATCTTGTCTATTAATGATATACTGCATTCACAAAATCCCTTCAAGTCCTCCCCACCGGTACTCACAACAGGCCCACGTATTGCTTTTCTCTCACCTTTATTTCTTTGCTTTTAAACCAATGTGTTTATGTCACTGGGAAACATATTTGTGAATTTCTGTATTGTTTAGAATGACCTTAATGGCATTTTGACCACAGTATGTGAGAGACCTGAAGTGCTTTCAACCTAGTAAATATGAATGCAATAAATATGTAAATTAATCTATGTATATTTATAGCCTGGCAGAACTCAAAGGACCAGACTGTAGCCAAAAAATACTGCACTATCTATTGTTTCTGCATTCCCCTTGGTGGCAGTTCCCTGGAGCTCCATTCAGGTGCCCACAGTGACTGCCAGGGCACCCTTATTAATAGTGCTGCCATAAAGGCCACTTTGTATTTAGTCATTATGAAAGGTTCTTGGAGTAGAGGGCTGGGCTGAGGAGTAAAACTAAATCAGCTTTTATAAAGAGGAAAATAAGAAGTCACAAAATGAATGTAACACTGAGCTTTCAAACCCCATCTATTTACTTTTTGTTTGTGGGTGAAGTTTCCTTCATTGCTCATCAGTCGTGTCAGCTATTGATATTTCTTCTGTCAGGCACAAATAGTATCTGACTGACTGACATTATCTGTCCATTGACTGCCATGATTTTGAACCTTTTTGGATCTGTGGCCCCCCTAAGCGTTTCCCAGCTGAGGAATTTAAGCCAACTGACAAGGAGCATTAGATGTAGTTACTCTTCATGGATGTCTCAAAAGTAAACTAGAAACCTCAGAAACACTGTATTGAAAACTTTGATTCTATAGGATAAATGTTTACATAATACCATCAACGTCTCAGGCGTCACTGATCTCTCACATGGACGCAATACAGCCAGTGAGAAACTTGGCAGAAAACATAGAAAAACAACGTTCTGGGCATTAGGACGCCAGATCCGTAGCTGGATCTTTTCCTGCCTTTCTAGGCTGAGACGGAGTTTCCATTGGTGGGAAATTTCCATTGGTGACCCTCATCCATGCGGACAGATGTGATCCAAGCTCCATTTATACCCACGGTGGGTGGCTGCAGGGGAGCGACGACAGCCTCTGCAACCTCTCACAGTCAGGTGAAATAACACGTTCAAACATTCATTCGTGCTCAGATGCCGAAATGAAGGGTTTTTTTTCCCAGTCAAAACCCCGAAGTTAAAAATCTGAAGGTCTATCCAACAATTAGATATGGTTTTGCACAGTCAAGAAGTTTAAGAGCATATCGGTGTATGGAATTGTGTTGTTGCCATTTATGGCATATCATATTTTTATCTAATTATGGACTCTACAATGGTTTCCATTTCCCATACTTCATTTAAGACTAAATTACTAGGTAACAGATTGAGGCTGGAACATGGAAAAACAATTTTAAAGTAGTGAAAGTGGCTTCACGTGATAGGGAAGAGCACTTCATCTTACAGCTGGTTTAGTCACACAAGAATAATTTGACTGTAGACTAATCCTAGGAAGTTCAAAAGCCACTACTTTATGGATACCATTTACCAGCGATGAAGGAAGAAATTTGCCCTCCACTGATGTTCTGAATGGTCTTATAAGGTGTGAACGAAGCATTTCCCCCTTCAATGTGACCACTGGGATTATAGTTGTCTATATTTTATTTTAATTGTTGTTCATTTTCCAGGGATCAATACTTAGTTCTTAGAAAAGATGCAAAAATATTCCAGTAGCGTTAGGCAGAGAATTACTACGCACCTTAAGAATTAATATGTAGGTAATGAAATCTACACTGCAGCGTGAGCCAATTTAGGATTCTCTACAACACTGATCTTCCTTTTCAAGATGCAGAGGGGAAAAAATCATGTTGTATAACACAAGCTGTCAAGATAGAACAGGGGCCAGGTAGCTTATCACATCAGCATGTTGGACTCAATCAGTCATTTGACAAAACAGCTTCAGTAGTGCTTTGGGAAGAGAGATAAAAAAGCCAGCACATGGGGCAGAGAGGCCACTGGTTATCTCAGAAACTGATGGCAGGGTTTCTTGCCACCAACTCTGCTTGACTCTCTCTAGAAGAGACCCCGTGTTTGACACACAGCAAGAGCTCTGAGCAGAAGAAAGCATTGGGCAAGACTGGTCACTGGAGATTTTTCCCCATGCCAGGTATGACAATGGGTCCGCATTAGAGCAGAAAATAAAAAGTGCCAGGGGGGAAAGCCATGGTAGCCACGCACATCATTGTTTTTCCTGTTCCCAGATCAGGTTCGTTGCTATCATTTGTGAACTGCAGAGATCTGCATGGAAAATGTTCTTTTCCTTTCTTACCTCAAATCATGTGGAGGAGGAGGTGCTCACAGCTGCTGTGCAGAGTAGTACAAGGCTGGAAATTTTCAGATGGATTTTTTTTTCCCATTAGAAATTTTTAAATTCAGCAAAAAAGAAGTATCCCAATCTGCTGGAATTCCTGTGCAAATCCCCCAGACATCTAAAGCAACCATCCTTACCAGCCACACTTAAACCCTGCCTGGTTCTCTTCTGGGCAGGCACCCCAAAAGACTTCCTGGCAGCCCTGGTAATGCTTTGCTTGGCAGCAACTCCATTTCATAATTGTTTTTATTAAAAATTATGGCACGTTCCCCAGAATGAGCATTTCATCTTGTAAATCATGGAACTGCACTGATGTGATGGCTGTGTCTCCATAACTTCCACAGAGTGAGTCTCCTACATGTGATTGATAAAAATCTTTGTAAAGATTCTCCCCAAATGACCAGGAGATCTTAGAATCACACACATGATTTTCTTGTGTCAATTTTTTTAACAGACATAGTTTGATTACAGCTGAGTGTATGCTGGGTTCTGTTCCACATACAGAAGAGAGAAGCAGCTGTAATGTATGAAATGAAAGCACAGAATCACAAAGAATAGAAACGACCACTAAGATCAGGTCCAACCATCAATCCATCACCACCAGGTCAATCAAACTATGCTCAATGTTCACATCCAGCCTGCTGAAGCTTACCTGCCAGTTAGAAAGCTGTGCTAGCCATGCATATATATTTGACTCTAACCAGCTCACTTTTACCTTCCTCAAAAATAGAAACCAGCACCAAACAGAAAGAGTCACCCACCACTGAGAGGAAGGGCAAAGTTGTATTGAGAGGGCATGGAAATACAACAAAGAGGCTCCTAGAATTAGAAATAAGCTGGCTTTGGAGATCTGCAAAGAAGTTGAACCCCAGTATTTCTGATTTCTGGACGACAGATAAAACAGAGGTGTATTTTGGAAAATATGCCTGGTTGGGAAAGATTCAAAGCTTTGTTCCCGACAGACTGAGTTTATGACAACCTATAATTTGGGGGGGAGGTCAGAGAGAGCCTCAGTCTTCTCCTGAGCCAAAGCAGGTGTTGAACAAAGGGGTGAGTCTGTGAGTGGTGATCATGAAGGTGCACAGATTTGGTGGAGGCCTTGGGTGTGAAAACTAGATGGGAGGAGGGTCAGTAAAATCCCAACTCCACCTTCTAAAAAGCCAGGAGCCTCTCTGACAGCCAGTGCCCAGCATCACTCCTCCTTTCCCTTGCTTCCAACCAAATGAGCTCTGTTTCTGCTTCTCCACAGCTCTCTATGTGATACAGCATCTCTTGCAGGCCAGGAATGGTTTCTCATCGTTGCCTGAGCAAATCAAATGATTTGTGTCCCATTGTAATGAAAATCGATCCAATGGCCATCCAAGCCCAGGAGGAGAGCTGGCAGCTTCCCCTGATATTTCAAAAAAATTCACTGTATTTTCTCTGCTAAATGATGCTATGGACAGAAGCACTAAGACCATTCTCCGTGTCAGTTCCAGAGACAGATATTTCAGGGAGAAGCAATTAACCACCAGTGATTACTTTTTTCACCCAACAACTAATTGCAAGGCAATTAAGCTGGGGAGAGGAGGTGGCTGTGATGGAGGGGACTGTCAGCCCCAGTGCCTGGCAGAATCAAAGTGTTGCTACATCACCTGTGAGGTACAGTTACCAAAGCACTCTATTTTGATACGCGGTAATTATGCTCCCATCTCTCTTTTTGTCCCTTTTGTTTGCTGCTGCTACTGAATTTCAGGCACTGTGGATGGTGGTAGAGAAAGACTGAGAAATCCCTTAAAAACCTCCACAAGGAGAGCAATTTTTCAGACCAACGTTTAAAGAAGGAGCAGGGCCCCTCCGATGATTAATCCCAGTAATTATTCATCAAGCCAGGTGGTAGGACAGCAGCATTAAGGGCTGTGATGAGTAAGGTTTTCTGGCCCTGAACTTAGAAACTAAGAACATCAGCAAACGTGCAGGCAGCAGCTAGCAGAAGTACAACATTAGTTTTACTCCCTGTGCTATTAAAATTTGTATTTCTACTGGCAGACTGCAGTTACCAAACCATCATAAATCTCTCTGTGGAGCCAGTTCCCTAAGCACTGCTGGTTTAGCTTTAATCCCTTGGGCTGTTGTAATCCCTTGCACTCCAGGAGGCTCGAGTCACCCAGCTCTGTGTGTGGCAGTTGTTCGGAGGCATTTTGGTCTTAAATCAGCCAGAAGGGTAACCAAGTTGTGGTGACATCCAGCTATAGTATTGGTGGACAATGTTTAATCCTCGGGGTGATACGCAGCACAGAGATCAGTTTGCTGCGGTCACAGCAGAGTTGGTCAGGCTGTGGGTTCCATGAGTTCCCAGCTTTGTATTTCACAGCAGCACGCTGACCTCCAGGACTCAAACACAAATCCCCTTCCTTGAAATGTCACTTCTTGTCTCCTTTTACTGAATGTAATTTTGCATGGAACAGAACGATGCCCCAGATTTCCAGTGCAGAGAGCTCCTTCTGTTAAGTCAGAGCTCTGCATATTTTATCATAGAAGCTGGATAATAGACTTTTTGATTGGACGAGTGATCTGTTGTAGGAAATGTTTCCAGTACATAGGGTTTTCCTACAGTCTCCTTCCCAGATCAGGGAGCTGCAGGGAACCAGGCAGCATCAGCCCCCAACCATCATCTCAAACCTGCCCTGAAATTACACTTGGGTAACTCCATCGAAATCAACAGGAATTTTTAGTGTGATCATGAAGAAAACTTTGTTGTTGTTGTTTTTTAAAGGTACACTTACTTCGTTTGTTTTTTTCTTTCCCCCTGGAAATAGGCATACTGAGAGCATTCTCCTTCCTTCTTGCTCCCTTGTGTGTGTACTCCTTGTGAAAGTTCCCATTGTTGAAAATGACTGTACAAAAAAGGCAAAAAAGAGACAAGTTAGTGACTTTTTTCTTTTTCTTCCCTTCAAGCTCTCCTCTACAGAGGAGCTTGCAAGAAGTGAAGAGAGAATATGAGAATTTGATGCTGCCTTTAGACATGTGCAAATCTAAAGCGAAGGTATGAGTGCCCTTAAAATGTCAGCCGAAAAGCAAATAGCACTTCTATCAGAGTACCAAAGAGAATGTTAATTGCTCCCTAGTGATAGAGATCTAAGCTATAGAGAAATGAAAAGATTGCCCCTCATCACACACACAGAATCACAGCATTTTGACCACTAATCTCATTGACCACTGGAAAGTCTTTCTTTTGGTTAGTCTGCTGCTCTCTCCTGAATGCCAAAACATGGATTTCCAACCAGAAGCCTCTGGGGAAGTAGTGTTAATCTTGGGTTAAACTGCTGCATCTGATCTGTCACTGCAAAGAAGCATTTTAACATCATGTTGACACCAATATCTCACCAGCATCTGTCCTCATGAATGAGAGAATCCACCAAAGGAAGCTTCATCTTATCCCAGAGAGACAGACAATAATGCAGCTACGGAGCCAGCTTCCAAATGCTCAGCAAAAGATGACTTGTGCAGAGAGATTGCCTGCATCACAGTGCAGCACAAACCAACACCCTCCTGTAGCTTCTGTTTAGTTGATTTAGTCATCAGTAATATTATAATGACAGCAGCAGGAAATTCAGCTAGCTCTCATCATCTAAATTCTCATACAAGGCTCTGCATGGGTTTGTTGAAGCCTGAAATGTGGCAATCAGTTCTATCAGAGCCTTTGATAACTAAGCAAGGTAGAAAGAAAAATAAAGTAGTTACCAATAAAACACAGCAACAACAGCAAGAGAGTCCTACATCCTGCTACATTCCAATATTTGTTAGATAAGTTCTTTTTTTTATTGTTAATTTTATTTCAGACTTTTACAACTCTAAGTGCACAATATTGAACACGTAATGGTTCATTTAATTTAGAACAAAATCTATAATCCACTGACATGTAACCAAGTCTCAGAACTATCATCCTACAGCAAAGTCAATCTTTCCTTGCTGTCTCTCCCTAAGAAAGCTCGAAGCTCCTTTCTTTTCTACATGGTTCTGGTTCCTGTTCTGCTGTGAAAACAACTCTTTGTAATCCTCATTCTTCACTCATCAAATTGCCTCAAGAAAGCAGTAATAAGAAGATGCTGAGAAAGGTTCAATAGTTGAAAGCTCAATGTCTGAAATATCCCCTGAACTCAGTTTGTCTAATCAATCTTAGTTTGTATACATATTTATTTTTAATAAGCAAAAAACATTTTCCCCATAAAGGATCTGATCTGAAGGGGGTCTTATGAGGAACAGCATTCAGCAGCTTCACTACAAATAACAACTCTAATCTTGCCTGCAATGAAGGTATTGTTCTCCACATAAATGCTGTGGTATCTTTGTGAAGCATTAGATATTAGCTATCCATACTGTATAGACATACAGTGCCATTAGTGTATCAGAGCACATTTCTTCTTCTGTCATCTGTAACCTCCTATCCAATATTTTACTGGCTTTCCAGTCCCTTTCCAGGCTGAGATTCAGACTCCACACCAGTAGAGCAGAGCTAATTGAGAGAAGACAAATGTTTGCTGTTGGACCTCTGAAGACTGCTGTGATCCTGGTTCCCAGCTGTCTTCTAGGATGACCAATTCATTTTGGCTGAATCACATAATTAAATGCATGAGTACAATTCTCCTCAGTCAGCCTCTAATCTTTCCTCATGTGACTGCAGATCTCTGAACTTGTCTTGCACTGTGGTGCTGAAGGATTAGTTATTTTCTTCCATTAGGAAGCATTAAGTCAATGGAAGGTTTGATCTCTTCCAGAGATCACGGAGTTCAGTTGGAAAGGACCCTGAAAAGTCATCTAGTCCAACTCCCCTGCAATGAACAGGGACATGCTTCCCACCAGCCAGGTACACACCTTGGGTACTGCTGGGTAAACTTCAGGTACAAAAAGATGCTTGAGATGACTCTGTAAATAGCTTACAGGAGAACAGGTAACAAAGGAGAGAACTTAGCAATTCAAATCAAATAGCCACACAAGGGAATAAAGTTATTCATTAATTTATTTCAGTTAAAACCTGTGTACAAGTTTATGCACTTATTTTGCCTCTCAGAATCTTTTCAAGCATCATCAGTTCTCATCTAACAGGAGGCATTACTTCTACTGGTGCTCAGAATCCTCTCCTTCTGCACCAAAGCCTTCCCAAGCCACCAGTACCTAACCTAGCACTCCTTACCCGTGTCCAAGCACTTCTGCTGATCATCAGCTCTGAACTCTTTTCCATTTCTCATAGAATCATGAGTTGGAAGAGACCTGGTCATCTAGTCTAAAGTAAGCATTTTTGCTACCACTATCACATTTCTTCTCTGCAGCACACCCATAGTGCTGCTCCAAGCTGGGGCCCAGCAGATGCTGAAGGTGGTTGACAGTGAGAAGCACTGAGCATCCCAGTATGCCACCTGGAATCGCCCTGTGGCCACGTACCAATGAGCTGCCTTCCTAGTGACAGCAGCAACTGATGGGAGCAGTGCTTGGGTCCTCCAGCTGCAACCTTCCTTCTGCCTATGAAAGTCATTGCCTAGTTCTTACCATCAGATGGACTTCCAGCATCCTGACACGTCCATCCCTTCTAGCAAAGAAAAATGCTTAATAAACAAAATCCCTACCCCAGCGTTTTGAGAACATTTTCCAATAAAATGAATCAGATAAAAATAAAGGGAAATTTCCAACAGATGAAACTGGCGCAGGCTGTCAGCGCTGCTGCACTGAAACAATCAGTCATACCTGGAAGCTAAGCTCCCTTGAAAGGCAATTGCATCTTCGTGTTGGTAATGCTTTTTGTCATCGCAGTATGTCTGTAAGGTACCTCCAGCCCAAGCACGCCTAGTTTAACATAATCCCTTCTGATAGGGAATAGAATTTTAGCTGTAGTCAAACGGGCTTGACAGACTTGCTTTCAGTTTTGTACCGTCCAGGATATAAGCAGGGAAAAACAACAAGAACCACACATCAGCTTGCTTATATTTTAAAAAATACGAATTTTAGAAACCATGACTGCTTTCTGATGACTCCATAATTAACGTGCACGATTAGTGCACAGACAACATTAGGGATAACAAAGCAAACCAGCAGTAGCTACTCCTTGAGTGACTCCAACTCACCCCTGATTATCAGCACCATCAAGGAAGGAAATGAGCAAGGCCAAGTGATTTATGCTCCAGATGTAACACACTCCCCCCACATTACAGTTAGCATGGCTACGTTGTCCTCAGAACTGACTACAGTGGTTCCACATGAAGGAAGAATTTGGATTAGCACGTGCTGAAGAATGAGCATTTGCCAAAAGGAAACAAAGCAAGCAGTGGGAAAGGCATTAGTTGGATTCGTTTTGCAATGTGACTTTTTTAGGTTCCCTTGGAAACAGTTTGGAGTTTGACATCTGATGCTTTCTAAATACATTGCTGTGTTTGTAGCGTTTTGAGAGAGAACCTGTAATCATCACAGCCTCTTTAATGCACCACAATGAAATCTGACTGTAGCAATAAATCATAACTCATCCTATTCTATTCGCATTGATTTTGGTGGAATAAGGACTTAGCCCAAAGGAATAAAACCATGTGAATGGTTTGTTAGCTTCCTATCACCTCTTTCTCTTTTCATTACTGCTTTTCTTTCTGTTCTGATGTCTGATCATGAAAGGTAATTTAGTAAATAATTCTGGTGAAGGATTGGTGTTCTCGTTATACATGAGAAAACAACTTGTTTTTCACCTACAAGGAGATTAGGAGGGGTTAAATCTTACCAAACGCATAAGCAATGTGATGCTGGGTTTGTCTCCTGAGTGGCTGAGAATAATACAAGATTTTTGACCTTCAGGAACAAGTATTTCCACCTGTGTCAAAACTCACTGGTTAGGAGGCTCTCTGTGTATGCAGCATTCCTGGGACAGAGACCAAGAAGTGACACAGCTCCTCCTCACACTGACTTTTCAGAGTGCAGGAACAGAATTTTCTTCCAAAATCACTTCTTACAGCATTGAGGGGTGAGGCAGCTGGCTGAGCTAGAAGTGATGGCTGCCACAATGAACTAACTTAAATTTCCCAAATCATTTCTTTTTTCAGTTTACCGGGCTGAACATCCTGGTCTCAAAAAGACAGATTACTGCAGATCAGGCTCTGGCTACCAGTGAGGACGCAGAATGTATTTGATTAGCTTAGGGTGGGATATCCTAGGAGAAACTGAGCCCAACTCCTAGCTAGAAACTGTGATGCAAGCTTAACAGCTGCGAGGGTTAGATAACATTTCCATTAATCAGCTGCTAGCAATACAATGACCCCTGCATTTCAGGGAACAATTGCCTCTGCAGGACTGCACCTCTTCTGCTCAGCCTATGGCTCTTGAACCTCTTGGCCAAAGAGTCTGGAAAATTCAGACATAAGAGAAGAAAAATCCTCTGGATTATTTCTTTGTCTCTGTTGGCACTCTGCTCTGTCATCCTTCAGCTGCCAGCAATGCTCCATTAGGGCAAAACCCCTCTCAGGGAGCCTATGGTTTACTAAGGCACAACACAAGCAATACCCTAAAAGCCTCTCATTTAGCTCAGGTGTTAAGCAGTAGGAGAGAGAGGTTAAAAGGAACATTTTCAAAGCAGGGCAGAAGATTTAGTGGTAGAACTTCCACTGACATTAAATCCCAGACATCAGTGTGAAAATTTACCACGTAAGTGCTACCTTAAATCTATAATGCGGTAATGGTATTAAAGAAGGCAGAGACATTAAGCACGGAACTTAAATCTTGGATTGCCATAATGCTATTAAATGGACGATCGCAGATCTAGCACTTACTTTAGATTAATTATGTGAGAGGGATGTGCTGGACCGACCAGCGCTGCCATAGGCAAACTGCTTATTAAGAAGGTTATTCTCTTTTCTTTTCCTTC